AACAAGTGATGAAAACATTGTATTTCTATTGTGGTAAAATGTAACTGGTGCTTTAAATAATTGTAAGAAGCAAAAAGGTTAACATATTTTCTTATTTTTTTTTTACGTTGTGATTTACGAGATTCACGAAAGCTTTGCTACAAACATCTGCCTAAACCAAAAAGTAGGTTTATCGACTTATTTTTGTCCAGAGAACAAGGAGTTGCTTTATGGAAAAGCAAACATGTTTCATTTATGTTGTTTATGAACAAAAATATCTTTATATACTTATAAATGGCTAAATTGAATAAATATACTTTAAAATTAATTGTAATTATTTGCGTGAGTCACGGACTTGATTAAACATTTCTAGTCCTTGACTCACATGTTACATAAATAACTTCTTTAATTTTTTTTTTTGAAACAACCATTTCCAATGAGTTTCGTTTCAGAAACTATTTATTGATTTACTTGTAACGCTTTAGCCGCAGACATCTGTTCATTACAAAACTAGGTTTATTGGTTTTCTTCCTTTAGAGCATAAGGGATTCGATTATGTTAAAAATTGAATGAAGAGGTTTCAATTTCACAAGAAACTGTACTTAATTTTGGGTTTATGTGAAAACCGGTGCATCCATACATAATAGTTATGTTGTTCGAGCGGTGCTTGGTTATTGAAATGAGCACGAATTAAGGTATTAAGGTCGTCCGCAAAGCATTACGCATCGTAGAAATATGATTGGCGCGCATTGATTAATTGAGACTCGTCATACACGAATTGAAGGAAGAGACAGACCATATACATTGATGCACGCAAGAAGAAAGAAAAAAAAAATCTGAAGAGAATATTAAGCAGCGGCTTTCTTTACCGGTCGAACTTAAAAAGTGTAAATTCAGGCGAAAACCAATAAAAATTGGTTTCCATGAAAGAAAATATTTGTGTGGATGGATTTTCTCGAAATCGGGAGTGACAGGTGCAGGTGATGAAGATTCGAAGCGGATGGGATTTGTGATGGTATTTTAATCATATCGGCACCCTTCGTGAATGCGAAAATAGTTTTTTTTTCATATGTTAAATAGGGCTGTCGTCGGTATCAAATCACGTTTCCACATTTGTCACGTAAGTCCTCCGGAGCCTTTGACAGAGAGCGCGAGGGGAGGACGTGGAGGAAACGTCAATTCTCCTTTGTATCAAAGGATGAAGTTGTCTGCATATGAATGGATGTATTTCAATTTTATTAATTCAATAACGAAACACTCGGTTCTGATTTTGTACCACTTCGCAGAAGCTTTCACGAATTTTCAACAATCTCGAAAATGATGATATCAATTTTGAATCGGAGAGATGGCGTTTTAAACTAATTAGTTATGTAACTTCTATTAATGTGTATTCTACTAAGATTATTATTTTGTTGCAATTTAACTATCTTGCATAATAATGATGCAATTGAAGAAACTGTAAGATGCCTTTTGTTAATGAAGTTGATTTATAGTATAGTAAAGTTAAAAAAGTGATGTTGTAATTGGTTTTCATTAGAGTTGCGATGAAATTAGGAGGGCGATAATAGTTTTAAATTTACATGAATGAATGTCGGAAGGACCGAGGTCGTTCGGTTGGGTTTTCAGATTGTGATGGAGAGGATGAGGAGTTTAATAACTGCTTTAGTGGATGCAATTTGCGTCAGCAGAAGAGACTCACGAAAACATTTATAGTGTGCCCGAGTTGATATTAAGCCGTTGAAAAACGCTGGAAGGTGTTAATAACGAGCGGCGGTGATGTGTGTATAGAATACATATATATGTGTATGTATGTATAATATACATGAGGAGTCGAGTGAAGAAGTGCCCTGGATGACCCGGATCACGGACCCATAAATAAGTTAACAACGGGCCAATTAAAAAGGAAGAAGGAAACGGGAAACACCGATCGCCCGGAAACAGGATACAAGCGGAGAGGCGTCGCGACGCGCGTCAATCGGTGCCGGTATTGAAGCGTCTCTAGAAGGAGGAGAAAGAAGTTTTCAGGGAGCGAAGAAAAAAAAAGGAGGAAAACAAATGAAACATAATTACGACGATACATTATTTTAAGACAACCGAAGAAGCCGAAGATGGAGAGACGAGAATAAAAAAAATTGGAACTATAAATAAACACGGACTTCCTGAAAATTAAGGCATTTTCGTTGATTAGTTTACAAAATACGCGCAACTCTTTCGTGCTTCCGGAGCATCTGCGACCCCAATTAGCCCCCAGGCAGCCAAAAACAATATTTCAAAACAGAAAGAATGGATGGATCTATTCCTCGTCCCTTCCTGACTTTGTTTTCCGAGGAGGCTCCCAAAACAAGACAAAAAAAAGAAGAACTGGTGGTTTATATACATTGGGACAGGTTAAAATAAGCTTCGTTAATGTGTATTCGCCGCACGGCGCCCGAAAAATCTGTGGAACACGTGGGGGGACGTTTCGGGGTCGCATTTCCGTTCCGGAAAGAGAGATGGTCAATCGGATTCAATTGAAGGCACCATCCGAGGCGGAACAATGGAGTGTACCTCCTCGGACGTCCATTTATAGCAGGATTCTGCTGACAATTTCGGATTACGGATTTTGTTGTCACCAGAAGGTGGAAGAGAAGGAGGAAGAGAAAGATGAGTCATGCGATGAGCAAAGCAGAAAAGAAGAAAACGTAAGTGTTATTGTTTCGGGAACGTAACGTGGCATGCAGATGTTTTTGGCCTCAGAAACAACGGTTTTGACCTGTGCCATCCACTTCATTCTCTGCTCGCGTTCATCATCTCCAGCCAGATGCTCACCTAATCCGCACACAAAAAGGACAAAACCGAAAAGCTCCGAGAAGACCCAAGTCGCACTTGAAATACCGTTCGTCATATTTATAGAAGCAATATTTTCGCCCGCTAAAATTTCCACTGAAATCCGGACCTGTGCACCGAAGTTTCACCAGAAGCAGGCGAAGGCGGCGGAGGAGGAGGAGCAGAAGGAAAAAATGATTCTCCATGCTCGGAATCCCTGGCAGCTCACTTATGCCATTAATAAATTTTATAATACTCCAAAGCCAGAGTGGATAATTATAAAAATAGCCGCGGCCGCACTTAGATACTTTCCATTTCATGCTTCTCCTCTCCCTTTTTTTTATTTTTGCTCCTTCTTCTTCTTCTATTTTTCTCTCCCTTCGTCCTCTCCACCTCAGCATCTTCCTAGTCTTTCGCCTAAATCCAAAACTATTTTAAATTAATTCCATCCCGGAAACGCAACTCTCCGCAGGGACGCAAGATTGATTCGAAAGTATATTTCGGGCATCCACCTTCAAAGGCTCCTCTTCCTCAACAACTACAAACATCAAATCGCATAACAATATACCCAGTTATATTAAACTCCCAATTATTATTCCAATTACTAACATCTTATATATTTTTGAACTCAAATCATTGCGAAAATACACTTGGAAAAGTATAAAAATAACGTTTCTAAATTGTATTTCGGTCATCTGATAACAACGGTTTTACTAGGACGCGTGTTTATTTTGAAAAAATAAAAGGGAATTTCGCAAATGGACACGGGAATTTCGATGATTCCAAAGTGCGATCTGGTTTATTTCAAAATTAGTTGCGGTTCGGCCTGAAAGAAACCACAAACAACGTCGTCGATTGTTCAGTCTGAATAGTTTACACGAGTTCGTGTCGTGCCAATTAGCGGAGAGTCAGACTTTTTCTTAGGAAATCAACATTTTGTTTACAAAATCCCATTAATGACATCATATAAATATAAACAATTCATTTATTTCAGTGGTTTCGTTAATATGATTAAATTATTATTTAATTTAGACAATGGTTCATCATATATAAATTGCATGGAGTATATGATCAATTTAATGAAATGTCGCAAAGGCCTTAGAGTTTTATTTTCTTCGAAAACTTCTGAAAATATCCTTGCCAAATGATTTAAGATAAACCATCTGATGTTAGTTGATCATGAATCGCAAACGGGACTTTCAGTTGCGGACAGGTGGTTTAAATTTTTCAAAAAGACTGCGGATATTATCTTTGCTAAATGGAACGGAAGATTTTTGGGGATCCAGGTGGCTTCTTGCATCCGGTTCCGGTATCCCAGGCAATGTTCGTTTCGTATGTGAGGTGTACGGGTCTTGCGCTGTGTTAATTTATGGGGTGTAAATTAAACAAAATAAGACATAATCCAAGGCTCAATTAAAATTTATGTAAACAAATGCAATCAGTATGCAGCGCGGCCGGGTGGAAGGCTTCCTTTCTTCCTTTCGAGGAAGAAAGATGCACGTGCGCAGGATGTCACGCGCTGAGCTGAATTACGGCCCCTCTTTCGTGTCTCCTCCTTGTATGTATATACACACTATATACACAATATTTATACTTTAATATAAATAATTAAAAGGGGGATGAAATCTTGATTTACAAACCCTTTTTACCCCAATTAAAGCGGGATCATATGGTCGCAATTAAACAGTCGGTATCCGAATATAGAAATTGCCCGAACGGATTGGATTAGACGAGGGGGATGATGATGATGATGGATGAGGCGAAGGAGTAACAACAACTGACTTACTGTTATGGTTTGTTGGTTGGTGTTGGTATCTGGTATCTGTGGATGCGGTGGTAGTAGGTAGGCACTGAGCGATGCGACTCATCGATAAAACCCCCACGGGACGAGTAATGATAATTGCGTTTCGCTGGGATTGCGCGATGATGTTTGCATGATGGGGGGACTCGGTAAAAATGGCTTTAGCCGAAGACGTGATCAGCAATTGTTATCGGCTTCGGATGCGGATGTTCGGCGCACAGGGAGTGAGAGGAGGCGCCTTACGTAACAATGATGGGACGGACCGGAAGAAGATGACGAGATGAGAGAGGGAGAGAGATGAGAGAGGGCTCAATTAAATTCATTACCAGCCCTAATTCGATAATCATTGAAATATTGAGCTGAGAACCGAGCGTCGAGTCAATTGGAATTGGTAAATTGGCTTTGATAGACTCACCTCTGGTGCAGCGGTTGCAGCGCTTCCTGGGGTACGATCCGTGCCTCAGCGAGTGATCGTCGATGGGAATTGTTGTCGTGGCCTTCACGGGGACACCTTCTGGGGTTGCGTGCACCGTCGCCTGTGGTAGCTCCTCTTTGTAGCTCTTCGAGGACGAGGCGATACTGACCGATCGTTCCCTGTCCATGAAGGAACTGATCGAATGCCTTCTACGGCTGGCCGTGCTTCCGGCCTTCGCCGTTAAATTGTAATACTTAGCGCAATCTTCGTTTAGAAACACTTCCTCGTCGTCCGAGGCTTCCGAGCACGCGGCATCCTCGGACGTCGGCAGCGGGGAATAAATTAAGTCGGTGCGGGGTTCAGATCTGTTGCTCTTCAGGGAGTTTGCCCTCCTCGGTTCCTGGGGATACTTGCTGCTCAGTTCCGGCGCGATGTCCGATAACCTTGGTTCACCCATGATCAGAAGCTCTTGGTTCGAGTCGCCCGAATTGGTGCTCACCGATCGCAGCAGGCTTCTGGTGATCTGCTGCTTCTTCCTCTCCTCTCTGCTCATCTGCGGAGACGACGAGTCCGTTTTGCCTGCCATCGAGAAGTACGACGGATTATCTGTGGAACGTACACCGACCATTAGAACACATCCAATGCTAATTACATTACTAAACGCCTTGAATTTCAATTGCACTCATTAACTAATTCAAATCTATCCACGAATTATAAATTGACGCTTCCCGCTACCACGCTTCACACAAAAAAAAATATATACACTCTACTCCTCACATACTAAGTCTCTTCTACCGACATATCAAAGTATTCAATTACATATTCAAACTGAACATTCAATATACAATTACGTTTTTTAAAAACTATAATTACTAAAATCTTCAAAATTAACTTGAAATTAATGAAACAAATGTAGTTTTTGTTAAAAAAAAGTAAAATTAATCTAAGTCACTTTGACTAATAAACTAGAATCTAATTACATTACATCCAATTTTCATAATTATTTCCTTCATATTTGCACAAGTAATGCCCTTGATACAACACAATTACAATTTATTCAATTTTCTTAATGAATTATTTCAGTACGTGACAAAATGCTGATAATGTATTTTACAAGAAGAATGGAAAATTCAACTAATACCATCTGCAATGCAAATGTGTAACTTGCCATGAAAAGAAATAAAGATCATAAACCGTTTTCAGAAAAAAGCGATTCGGGTTGAGTTATGAAAGTTGTAAGAAATGCGTAGTTATTAGAGGCAAAGTACACAATATCGGTGGACGGTTATTTTCGGACGCGGTGGCGGTAGAAGTCGGTAGATTTATTGAACTTAGCGAGACCAAAAGAAAGTCCCCTTTCATTGCCGTACAGCTGAAACAGATCAATCCGTGTGCGGACCCGCAATTAGCCGCATGGAATTACATAATTTACACCAGTGCTTCGCAAACGGCACTTCGGAGGAGGGGCGCGGATTTTACGATCGCAGCTTCAAAAGCGATTCGAGGAATTTGGATTTCTCTATTTTTCCTTTACGATCAATTTGTCTAATTCCGTTTAGAAATATGACTAGGAGCAGACGCTTGGGAAGATTCCTACTTTTCAGAGTTTCGTGCAGCAAATGTGTTGATTTTTTTTTGTATATTCACTCTTCAAAGTCCCCTTAGAATTATGTTCTCACGCCCTCCTATAGAACCCATTACGCCCCTATTTGATAACCACCGATAAAAATATTTTTTACTTCTTCTACAGATTTGTTCTGCTTTGTGTCTACCCCCCCGAATTCAGATTTGTCAAGCTATTATGGAACACAATAAACATATTTAAATCTCCCTCTATTTTTTTTTTATAAATCAACTCCAAATTCAAACAATTTCAGTTCATTGTTACGAAACGTACTCCAAATAACACAATGAATCTATTCAATTCTATAAAAAAAAAATCAAGATGTTCTACTTTTTGAGATGATTCTTTTTTTTTTGATAGATTAACTAGTGTTGATGGATGCACTTGTCAAGTTGCAAGTTAATAATAATAATTCGATGATAAATGTATTCGAATATTCGGTTTGCGGCAGGCCACAAATGTCTTACGTGAGAGAAATTAATGTGCGCGAGACCACCCAAAAAGAATCGCACGGTGTGAGAACGTCGTGAGAGTATTGTTCATCTCCTCAAAAAAACCAAAGAAATAAATATGCTAAAACGTCGATCAAAAACGCAGACACGATCACTTCTTCCTTAGTTTACATCCATGTTCGAAAATGCGAAAACCGAAAATAGTGATGATATCCGATAATATTTGAAAATCAGTTTAGAATTTAGAAAAGAATAAATTTTACAAAAAAAAATATCATTTCATGAAAATCTTATGAAATTTCCTTTTGTAAATGTTGTTAATATTATAATATTATGTTTTAGATTCGTGATTCTCAACGTCACTCGTAAATTTTTTATCGGGTCGCAAAATGACAGCTGTCATTTTGTGTCAAATTGTCAAAAAATTTACTACAACAAGAAACAAATATGTTGGCTCGCGAAATGTCAGTTGTCATCTTGTGTCAAATTAACAAAAAAGTTGAGAAACGATTTTTTAAATGATATAACTAAATATAATATTATAAAGTATTTTTGTTCAATAAATAAATATTAGATAATATTAACAGAGTTATAAGATTATAAATGAATTAAAATTCATTTGTGCGATTGGAGTTTTCCGGAAGTTTAATACTGATTATAAATCAGATTTGATTAATGATCCCGCTATTAACACGATTCCATTAAGAACGGGGATTACAAAAAAAGTCTAATACCGGTAATAGATTGGATCGTGACAGCCCACCGATATTCCGGTGGAAACAGGAAACTTAATTGCCTTTACCGGAAAGCACGTTTTACGGCGTTACTTCCCTACCTATAAAACGGTTAATGGCGTCGTCTTCCTGATGTTTTGATGTTGCCTTTTTCTTTCTTCATTTCTTTTTCTTCAGATAAATGATTTAAACACAATCGACGCCGCTCCGTAATCAAATAATGCTCTTCTGGTGCTCTTCTCTCTGCAATTCTTGGAAAGCGGCCAGACTTTGTTCGAAAACCTTAATTTATTGAGTTAATCTCGTATACATACATACGCGTATGAAAATACGGTTCGTGTTTTTCGAGCGGGAAGTGCATTTAATCTTCTCGTTTTTGCATCATCAAACACCGAAGATTCTCATCGTTTTACTTTTGTTGGTGTTTCAGTTTCAGAAAGAAATTCATTTAAGAACCGAGAAAGTGTATACAAATTATTTGTTTTACATTTTTTTTTTCAGAAAAATATTTTCACCATTTTCCAAAATGTTAATGATTTATTTTTAGTTATATCAAATACCTGAAAACTTAAATATTTATAAGAAAATTGAAAAGTATTACTTATTGAGAAAGTTCAAGAAAATGCAGTTTATAAATAATATTTTTGATATTGCAGATATTAATCATGGTTTTTTGTTATTGATCATAGAAGCATATGGTATTTAAAAATTGAAGACTTTGATGAATGATGTTTCATGTTTTTTTTTGGAAATATTGTAATTGAATACTGTAATTTGTAAGTATAAATCTCTTGTTTTTATTTTAAATAAACGTATGAGTAAATTATATAACTAATTAAGTGTATTTTAGCTCTAATTAGAATCAAATAAAAAGCGTTGGTTAATTTAATTCATTTGAGTTTTAACTCTACAGTGTTGATGATTGAAATGAAGAGATTGAAAATTATGATGAATGATGATATTTAAACGTTGTTCGATGTTGAAGAAGTTGTTGTTTTTACACGTGTTTAATATGCAAATGAAATTATGAAATTTTGAGTCGATATACATAATTCATCGTCCATTGTCGAAAGGCGATATGCGCATATGTATAGATGCGATGGGGAGGACGTCAAAAGAACAAAACAAAAAAACAAAAAAAAAAGGACAGGATGTGGACACAAGATGAGCATTCGTAAAGGTACATTTCCAGGTAATTAGAAATGCAATCCCAGAAGTCGTCGTTTTATTGTTAGAATCGTGTTTTACAGACGAGGGACATCGTGTTCGACAAGACAATGAATGGGACAAGACACATCGGACTCACCTAAATCCATTGCGCTCGGCGAATCGGAGATTGTCCCAAAGTCTTCTCGTAATCTGGAAAACGAATGGAAATTAATGGAAACCCATGTTGTTGTTGTTTTTTTTGTTTGTTTGTTTGTTTGTTAATATTTGTGTGTGCATTAGATGATGGTAATTAAATTCTGGCAGATGTAAACAGTGCGGCTTTGCTGCGGTTTTCTAAATTTACGTGTTGCTCTCGGAGCAGCGCTGACATTCGCATGTTGTAATTGAAATATCTATTGGACGACTACTCTGCCAGAACCTAATTATGTTTTGGCGCAAATAGACCAGCCAGATGAAGAAGTAGGAGAAGAAGAATCCCGAAACTATTTCATTCAAAAACTTGCAGGCATCCTCGCATGAATCGGATCTTTTTCGGGCCACCGAAATGCACGCCGGTTTTGTTCTAGAATCGCGCGGACTTTGTGCCTCTTGACATCAATCACGTTCAACAGCGCGCGAACCTCACTTATCCAATTCATCCCGGCTCTTTGCTTCCACCTCCTCCTCCTCTTCCTCCTCCATGTGTTCTTCATCTTCATCATCATCTTCCATGACCGTATACGTGTTTAGTACTATTTTTTTTATTGGATAATTGACACTGCATGGACGTACTTAAGACAAAGCTCATGGAAAGATTTTTTGAATGTGTTATTTATTGTTGGTCCTAACCACGTTACGCATCTCTCCAATTAAACCAATTTCATTCATTTATTAGACTAACTTAATTTGCAAAAAAATAACATATATTTTGTTGGTTTTAACCGAATTATGCTTTTCTACACAAATTACTTTCATCTCATTATTTGATTCATTAATTAAATTAGATGTTTCATTACTAAATTAGCTAAAAATGTTTAAAAACACTGAGTAAGTAAAGAGATAGAAAAAACATGAGATTCAGTATAGAAACACTGCATGCAAAGTTACCAGAAATAATTAGAACGTAATGCAAATCACTTTGATTTTAGAATACAATTAAACCAATTTCATAGATTGGTCTATATAGTTTTATTACTTTTATTTTTTAATTAATTTAAACATTTTATATTTAAACTAACTTTTAGATTGACATTTACAAATGACAATAAGCCGAAGTATACGTTTTCATTTTCATGACTTATTTTTATTTACAGTCTATCAAACAATAAGTAAATATATTTGGCATATAATTGTAATTATTTTGTGTTTAGATAACAGCTACACATTTTCAAATTAATTACATTTTACTTTATTATTTGTTATATTAACTGTATTGATGTTTTGACCTAGCGCATACAAATATAGAATCATAATTCATTTAAGCTTTGATTGTATTAAAGCTATTTATAATTGATCAGTTCATATTTCTTATCATGCTCTTTCTCTATATAAACAGTATAGTTGACGCTATGACTTATCACATCAAAATATGGAAATATCTTATCTTAACAATGTTGTTATTATAAGTACTGTAATATATATTTCAATTTTTATAATTGAACACTTTTATTTTAGAAATAAATAGTAATTTTAATTAAATTTATCTTTAATAATTCATATTACGTAAATTTAATAAAAACTTTGATTTAATTGTGTTATTAAATTTGAATTAGTACAGTTAAACTATAAATTGATTGATGCATATTGTCCAAAAACTGCAAAATTTGAAACAGTAGATACTTCTGAAAAATGTTAAATTCAAGATGACCTTTTCTCGATAGGCAATTTGTCAACATCTTAAGAATATTTTTTCAAAGTTTGTCCGTATTCGTACAAAGTAATAAAAATAAAATGACCATCCACTTTCACTGAAAACGTGTCTTCTGTCGAGTGTCTACTGAAGTGATATGTCACATCTATTTTCATCTGCTTTCCGTCATTCGACAATGCGCATTGTCGAAGAAGCATTGGAAAACTGAAGAAGATCAAAGCCTTAACCATCATCATCATCATCATCAGAGGACCGAAGCAAAAACGAAGCCAAGAAACCAGAGTATTCTGTTTCTGGAAACGTCAGCACATGTGTATCTTGTCACGTGGGGAATTCGCCAAAAAGGTAAAGGGTCTGCGACGTGCATAATAACTAGCAAATGTGCGGCAAACGAAAAAGTTTCCAATTTCAAGCGCTCCGTTTTTCTTAGAATCCTCCCCGATCCTCGTGAAAGACGAGACCGGGCGCAGCAGTAAATTAAAGAAAAAAGTCGACGAAATTTTTGTTTTGTCTCATAGCCAACAACAACAACAAAAAAATGGAGTCATTTCAGTATGTATGTATGTATATATATAGAGAGAGAGAGAGATATTAAAAAATATTTTTCCCTCGTTCATTCACAAAGGTTCACTTTCTTTCTGCATATTTTCCCCCATAACCAAACAGATGTTGAAAACGTCTTCGAAGATGATGGAGAATGGAAGATGGGGAAGACAGTTTAAGCCTTTTTCGAGATTTACTCATAATTTATTGCGCGTTTTTTTTTTATGATGCCACCGAATATTTTCGTTTTAATGTGTTTTAATTACTCGTGAGATGTGAGCTGATACAAATCTGTTCGTTTATTTAAAATTAATGTATATACATATAATCCTTTAAGTGGATTTCATTACTGAATAAACAGTGAAGAAAAAAAGCTTTAGAATTTGGATAGCTGATGTAAAATTAAGTTAAGTAAAGTGTTTTATGGATTTTGTTGAATGGGTGATTTACCAACTTGGTACTAATATAAACAATATTTTACTAGAATATGGAGACAGCTTGATTATTGTATATCATAGATATTTATACAAGGAAATTAAATATTTTAATTATTTTTCTTTTGAAAATATTGTAAACTATTATAATTTATAATATTTAAAGTGTTTTACATGAAATTAATGAAAACAAAGTTGAATATTAATTGCGAAAATAAAGTAAAAATATTATAAAATTATTAATATATTAATAATAACAAAATTCGTGTAATAAAAATTTGATTGAAAATAATGATTCTCATATTTTAGTAAATACTGAACAAAAAACGGAAAACTTTGTAAGAAATTTATGAATATTCTTCATATTTGTAAATCAACAGTTTTATAATTACTTACAAAAATATTTGAAAAAAAATATTACTTCATATTAACAAAATTAATAACTTTTAATAAATGAATAATAATTTGTCTTGCAAAAGTAAATATTGTCAAATTGTCAATTTTAGCAATTACAAGAAACAAAGTAAATTTGAGTCAAATGTGTAAGATTTTTGAGAGTTTAACAATTATAATTAAAGTAAAAATTACCAAGGTAAATAGATAATAAACTAAACGTATTTTCATTGTAAAATCAAGAAAATTAGAGAATTGTTTTTTTTTATATTTTGTTATTTAATAACTTTAGACGAAATCATAACAAACTATTAAAACAAAATTGTTACTTAAATTTGTATAATAACTTCTTTTTTCTCGCCGTATATAAAATTTGAACTTGAATACGCAATTGAAATGTTGTGACCAAAATCAGCGGGAAATTTGAATAGTGTTTTGATGCGAAATAGGGACGTACGAGTATATAGCTGACGGTCGTCCGGCGCGTCAGTTCGCGAATCGTAATCGGCTATAATGATTCGAACGGGCCGTGAATAAATTTGGCGGTTTTGGTGATGCCTTCGGGACGATAATAGAATTAGAAATTTATTATTATTACGAGTCGCCGCGCAACGAACACAAAATAGGCAACATTCCAACGCGAGCCAATAAATATTTTAACAATTTGAAATAGCCGAAAAACCTATCCCGACAATAATCACAGTAGATGGAGATATTGATTGTCGACTTCTTTGATTGAAGAAGTTGATGTTTCCGCATGCCGGTTATTTAAATAGTTTTGAAAAGTATTGATCTTTGAATATTTTTTTTTTGAGAGTTTGCGTTTAGATGTGTTATATCATAAATCAGGATGAGATTTTCAGCTTTGGCTAATAAATTTTTCTGAAAGGGTTCCTTACATGATCTCGTTCTTTTATGTTCTTCTTGTTGTTCTTCTTATTTCTGACTTCTGCGTGAAATTACAGTGCAGGTGACGAGAAGCGGTTCAGGCATAGTCTTCTGCGGATGTTCAGCTTCATACATCACTAAACGGAAACACTGGTCACCATTCACACTCGTCCTTGTTCCTCTTCCATTCGGCTCGAAGAAGTTGCAGCTACCAGCGAAAAGGACGTTTATCTCTTCGGATCTCCGATCTTCTCGGATGTGGAAGGAGTATATGTGTGTATGTGTTGCGGCTACCGTTGTACGCGCACTAAGATCCTGGAGCTTCGACTGCCGCACAAGAAACTTATGTGAAACTTCAGATTCCGGTACGGGAGCTTGTGGTGCTTGGTTAGTGCTTGGGAGTGAGGCGGGAGTGGGGCGTCCAAAAACATTTGAACATCTTTAGAATTATGACAACAGCTGAAAGTCGCCGACGCTTTTCAGTCATTCACTGGGCACAGCGAAATATCTCCTCATCTCTCTCTCTCTCTCTTCTTTCTAACATCCACCCTCGCCACCTCAAGAACACACATCCATACTCCACGGAATTCCGCTCTCCTTGTATCATCTCAGCATGCACCTGCCAACTTTAACCATCGATGAGATGCATCATCTGAAATTCTGAAAATACAACTTGATTCTCGAGCAAATTGAATTATGATTAGTGTTATTTGCCTTCCGAGAAATTCGCGATA